TCAGCCGTCACTTGAAGGGAAAGCAATTGAATCTTTCTATTTATGAGAAAGAACTACTGGCAGTGGTCTTTGCAGTACAAAAATGGCGACACTACTTATTGCCACATCACTTTATCATTAAAACAGACCAGCGCAGCCTCAAATATTTGTTGGAGCAGAGATTGAATACTCCTATTCAACAGCAATGGTTACCTAAGCTGCTTGAATTCGATTATGAAATACAATATCGCCAAGGCAAGGAAAATATCGCAGCTGATGCTTTGTCCCGAGTAGATGGGAGCGAGGTGTTGCATATGGCTATGTCTGTCTTAGAGTGTGATCTCTTAACAGACATTCAAGCTCATTATGCTACAGACTGTGAGTTGCAAAAGGTGATTAAGGACTTGGAGAAAGATCCTAAAGCTAAGAAACATTTTTCTTGGACACAATCTATTTTAAGGAGGAAGAGTAAGATTGTAGTGCCCCAAGATATACAACTGAGAAACAAAATATTACAATGGATGCATTGTTCTGGTACTGGAGGTCACTCAGGGAGAGATGCCACTTTTCACAGAGTTAAGAGTCTCTTTTATTGGAAGGGTATGGCTTTGGATATTCAAAATTATATCAGAAGTTGCAGCGTCTGTCAGCAATGTAAGTATGACACTTCAGCTTCTCCTGGTCTATTGCAACCTCTCCCTATTCCTGAAGCCATATGGACTGATCTTTCTATGGATTTCATTGATGGCCTTCCTCTGTCTGCGGGTAAATCAGTCATTCTGGTGGTGGTTGACAGGCTAACTAAAGCAGCCCATTTCATTGGTCTTTCACATCCCTATACGGCTGTCTCTGTCGCTCAAGCATTCCTTGACAACATCTTTAAGCTCCATGGGTGTCCAAGATCTATTGTAAGTGACAGGGATACGGTTTTCTTGAGCAATTTTTGGACTGAACTATTTACTCTCCAAGGAGTGGATCTGAAAATGTCTACAGCTTATCACCCTCAAAGTGATGGTCAAACGGAAGTCGTGAACCGCTGTTTGGAGACTTATTTAAGGTGCATGTGCAGTGATAGACCTCATCTCTGGAGTAATTGGTTGGCCCTTGCAGAATTCTGGTACAACACTAATTTTCACACCTCTACCCACATGACTCCTTTTGAAGCAGTTTATGGTCAGGCTCCTCCCATTCATCTTCCATACCTACCAGGCGAATCTAAAGTTGCAGTGGTTGCTCGGAGTTTGGAAGAGCGTGAGCAGATGATCCTTATTCTCAAGTTTCATTTGTTGAGGGCGCAACATCGTATGAAGCAGGCTGCAGATCTACATCGGTCAGAAAGGAGTTTTGATATTGGTGATTCAGTTTTCCTCAAGCTCCAACCCTACAGACAAGGTTCTGTGGTCATGCGTCCCAATCAGAAACTGGCTCCAAAATATTATGGACCATATAAAGTGATAGATCGGTGTGGTAAGGTCGCTTACAAGCTACTGCTTCCAACAGGTTCTCTTATTCACCCTGTTTTTCACGTCTCTCAACTCAAAGCAGTAGTAGGTAATGTGCACACATCATCTCAGCTACCATCCATTGTCTCCGATGTACTACTCAAAGAACCAGTGGCTATCTTGGATCGCAAAATGGTTAAGAGACAGGGACGGGCAGCTACAATGGTTTTGGTTCATTGGACTAATGAAACAGAGGAGGAAGCAACGTGGGAGTTCCTCTTTGACTTACAGAAGAAGTTTCCAGCCTTTGAACCTTGTGGTCAAGGTTCTTCGAACAGGGGAGCTTTGATATAGCTTTCTAGAAGGTCAACAACACACGTGTGAAGTCGGAGGGCACGTGCGGAGTGGTGAGCTGGAGGCTAAAAGATTCTCTGTGACGGAAGTCGTTGCTAACGACGTTACTTTTACACATTATATGAGCGAATGTTAGCTCACAGTTTTTCTTATGCAAATCTTATTTCCTCTGTAATACTCTAGAAGTTTCTGGGTTATTCCTCATCGTTTTGCCGGATTTCCTTCACGGGATCTTGCAGGTGAGAAGTGGTGCCGCGTTCTTCATGAACGTTGTAATCCATTTATCGTTTTAATAAATCGAAGGTTCTTTAAATCGCTTACTCTGTTTTACGTTATCACACGGGCGGCACCGTGATTCTGTCCAGCGGCGACCATGATATATAGCACCATGAACATTACTGCAAAGATCACCCAGGTGAAAGCGTTTGGACCACCACCCCTTTGACGAACCGGTTTGGATTTATTGGACGATGAGCCACAGAGAAAAAACCACGGTAAGTCCCAAAACAGGAACCGTAACAACTTCTTAATCATCTCTTTCATCTTTTTGCTTTGATTCAGAGTGAGAGTTTTTCAATTGTTCGTTATTGTGTATATATAGTTGGTTGTGAATGTGGGAAAAAAGAAACACAATTATAGGGTTTACACGATATTGTATATTTAGGTAATTAACATTTTGACATGCATGCATAAATTATAAAAAATTGGAAATAGAATTTATAGTTTTCCAAAACAATATTTACATTGGTAAAAATTCCCAAAACGTTGCTTCTTTGCACTTTTTTATATATATTTCTATTTCCGTGTTGTTCTTTTTGCTCCCGATTTTTTTTTTCTTTTCTTCACCATTTCAAATTAATTTGTTCTTTCATTGATTCTGTAGCGCTATATTACCCAATTCTGCATAACTTTTATAATCCGTCTACGTTAGGACCCGCATTTATGTGCGTATTTTTGTCATAGTGATTTTCATATTTTTAAAGAAGTATAATAATCAACCTTGAGAGTTGAGAGTATGGAAATTGATACGAGAACTAAAATATCCTTAATAAACTCATACTGTACAGTACAACCAAAAAAATCAGGAAGACAAAAACGAAAGGCCCTATCAATTAGAGATAAAATAAATGAAGCAAC